ACATATGAGGGCCAGTGACACTGCCCTCTACAGCCCAGCGCTGTTCCCATCCCCCAATTCCCCAATAAAAATCTTAAAAAAAAAAAAAAAAAAAGAATTCACACTAGTAGCAACCTGAAAATGCACCACTGGAAGCCAAGTGGCTGGGTATGTCTTCCTATGAAAGAGAAAACTGGAGAAGTGAGAGAAGCCTTTAAGTAAGAATTTGGAGGGCTATCAAGCAGAAGTGGCTCTGTTGGGCACAGTTAGGCTCAGTGGAAGACATGTCAGTGATAGCTCCTAATCATTCTCAGGTCACAGATCCTTTGGAAATCTGAGTGAATGTTGTGGACTTCTCAAAAAGCAGACATACCATTTCAGAAAAGCCCAGACATCCTGGGAACCTCAAGATAAGACCCCTCCTTAGATTGGCAAAACACCACAACATAGTAAAAAAACAACTGACAAATTGGGAGAACATATTTGCAATATACAGCACAGATTAAGGGCTTATATCTCTAATATATAAGAACTCTTTAACTGAGGAATGAAAACCCCAATAAAAAATTGGAAGAAAGACTTCGATAATTCCGTGTATGTGTGTGCGCGAGTGATTTAAACACATGAAGAGGTGGTCAGCCCTACTCATAACTAGAGATGCACATTTAAGCAACACGTGATACCACTTTTTCCCTATGAGAATGGTGAAAATGAAAACGTATGACAGCATATCAGGCTGGCAAGGCTGTGAGGAAAAAGGTGTTCTCACACATTGCTAGTGGGAATGCATACTGATACCTCTCAGAAGAGGACTTGGCTACACCTAACAAAACTGCATATGTCCTGGCCTGCTGACCCAGCACTCTCATTGCTAGGTAACTACCCTAAAGATACACCACCTTCAACAATATAAAAGTACATATACTCAAGGTTATTCTTTAATGCATTACTTATTGTAAAATATTGGAAGGAACGTAAGTGTCCACATATAGGAGAGAAGTTGAATAAACTTAAGGTATATAAACATCCATACATGGAGGACTGTGCAGCAATAAGTAATAAAGAATGAAGATCTCCATGTACAGATGTGGAGTGATTTCCAGGTGTGTCCACCTCTAGATTTGGTGATTCACTGGAACTCACAGGATTCAGCATATGGTCATGTTCACAGCTGAGATTAATCACAAAGAATATAAAACAATCAGGAAAGGAAAGAGGGGCATCAGAAAAGTCTAGAGGAAATCATTCACAAGCTTCCAAGAGTCCTCTTTCAGTGAAGTCACACACGCTTACCTTCCTCTGGGCACAAATTGTGACAGCACGTGGCAAATGCTGTCTACTGGGAAAGTTTGTCAGAACCCAGGACTTTTACTGAGGGCTGGTCACATGGGGATCCTCTGGCCAGCACATACCAAAATCCCAGACTTCCAGGAAGAAAGCAAGGGTTTATTATAAACCGCATTGTTATGTAGGTACAATAACTTTTCTGCAAACTAGGATATACTGTTAAGTGAAAAGACCAAAGCATAAACTGATATCTATGGTATCCTCCCTTTCATGTAAGAAAGAAGGGGAAATGAGCAAGTAT